ATTCATCAGGCATTCAAAAGGCCCAGGGCCACTGAAGAAAGTAAGCAGCAAACACATCCAGCGAGCAAGGTAAAAGAATTTCATTCTACCACTCCATGTCTTTCTGTCCTTTCCTTGATTCTGGGGTGGAAACGTGTACTGACCAAAATGGTAACACTAAACTAGTCAGTGTTCGCAAAGTTCATCATGCTGTGCCACCACTTTACTTTGCCTATGCTATTCTCTCAGCCTGGAAGGTCCTGGCTAACACCCATCTGGAACCCCCATCTGCTGGGCAATTTCTATTCCTGTTCAAACTGCATGTCATCTACACACCCTCACCCCCAGGCTCTTTCTCTTTATAACATCTTTTACCATCTAAGGTACGTCAAAGGCCACAGTTAAGTGCTGGACACTTATCTCAGGTGTTGAGCTCTGTTAAGAGTCAGGCCTGGCCGGGCGGGCGCGGTGGTTCAAGCCTGTAATCCCAGCACTTTGGGAGGCCGAGGCGGGTGGATCACGAGGTCAAGAGATCGAGACCATCCTGGTCAACAAGGTGAAACCCCGTCTCTACTAAAAATACAAAAAATTAGCTGGGCATGGTGGTGCGTGCCTGTAATCCCAGCTACTCAGGAGGCTGAGGCAGGAGAATTGCTTGAACCCAGGAGGCAGAGCTTGCGGTGAGCCGAGATTGCGCCATTGCACTCCAGCCTGGGTAACAAGAGTGAAACTCCGTCTCAAAAAAAAAAAAAAAAAAAAAAAAAAAAGAGTCAGGCCTGTGTCCCATCCATGTTAGGATCTCTGGAATCTAATACAGTGCCTGCCACAAAGAGGCACATTCATGTATCATATTGATAACACCAACACATTAGAATGATGTGCCTTTAATGGAATTTTTGGTGGTTTCACACACATTTTTTTTTTTTTTTGAGACAAAGTCTCACTCTGTTGCCTAGGCTGGAGTGCAATAGCATGATCTCGGCTCACTGTAACCTCTGCCTCCCAGGTTCAAGCGATTCTCCTGCCTCAGTCTCCCAAATAGCTGGGATTACAGGCATACGCCACCACACCCAGCTAATTTTGTATTTTTAGTAGAGACAGAGTTTCTCCATGTTGGTCAGCCTGGTCTTGAACTCCCGACCTCAGGTGATCCGCCCACATCAACCTCCCAAAGCGCTGGGATTACAGGTGTGAGCCACCACACAAGTCCTTCACACACATTTTTAAGCCTTACTAGTTTGCTCTGCATGTAGGAGAAATTATCAAAGTTTACTAATGTGAACATTTGGTAGTTTTCATCAGTCCTAGACCTGGATTCCTTGACTACAGGTTAGAAAACTGCTCTGAGGAGCCATCTAGTCCACCTTATAGCTCTAGAATGTTGTCTTGGACACAGTAAAAAATAAATAAACATTTATTGTTTAAAGCTGAGATATAAGTCCTCGTATAGCTAAGGAAGTATGATAAAAGCGCAGTTTCTCAATCCTTCTTTGAACATTGCTCCAATTTTCCCATTGAGCTCATTCTGGAAGCTTAAACCAAATCTTCCCTTGACATCACATGCCCATTAACTTAGACATGATTTAGCATCTCATCATGGCATCTTCGCTGAGAAAGCTAGAAAGAAAATATTCTCCCTGGCACCCAGCCTAGAAATAGCCATATTCCTCTAAACTCATGACTTAAAGACTTCACTTCCCCCAAACAGCCCCTGCTGGACTAGTTAGTAAAATCAGGCTAGAAAGGCTGATGCTAACAGGGGAGATATGGCGGTGCGGCATCCTTTTGTCTTGCCCAGCACCTGCTCCTCGGGGTTCTTGCAATTCCTCACGAAAAAGCACAGACCAATACCCACAATCGAGAAAAAGACATCAGCAGTGGAACATGGTGGTAATCTGGTCTATGTTTTGAAGTCTCTCATACCACTCCTCTCTAAACTGCCTGGCCACCGCTCTGGGCACACAGTGTACAACTCCCATGGTCCTTCGACAACTCTGGTTGGAAATGTAGATAGGTCAGCATTTGGGGACTCACAGAGAAGAGAGTCCAGGGAAGCAGCATGGCTACCCAAAACATCTGTTGGCCCTTAAAGGAGCTGGTGAGGACTCTGCAAAGAACATCTGGCTCTGTCCCCTAACAATGGGGGAAAGGAATTGCTTCAGATTGCTGTAACTCAACTGGCTTTCACAATGCTCCCACTCCCCTTTAACACACACACACTCACACACACTCTCTCTCCATATATATATATATATATATATATGATATATAACATTGCTGGTAAGTAATGGCTACCATTTATTGAACACCTGAAAATGTTAATTACTTTATATATATTGCCTCATTTAATCTTCATGACCAGTCCATTAGGCAGTGGCTTTCAAACTTGACCTTGCATCAGAATCTCTCCAGGAACTTGTTAAGCCCCACACCCACAGCCCATGTAGTGAGGCCTGAGAATCTCCATTTCCAACAAGCTCACAGGTGATAAAGATGCTCCACTTTGAGAACCACTACCACAGGGAAACAGAGATTCAAGAGTGGTTTGGAATGTCTTGCCTACAGTTCCACAGCTAGTAAAGAAGAGATCCAGAATGCGAACCTAGATCTCTCTGACTCTACAGTAGCTGGTAAGCATACTACTGTATGTATGAATATACCCCTCACCTTCCAAATTCACTGGCAGATCCTTAAAGGCAGATGTCAATCACACTCTAGACCTCCCTCATCCCTCTCAGAACTTCATAGGGTCTTTGGACTCGGTAGGTGCTACATAAATACTTTGTATACTGGTTCCTACATATTTACACACTTCTAGGAGCCACAAATTCAAACACAACTAAAGCCAAAGAACACAAAAAGGGCAGCATAGCCAGCCCTGGGTCTACACGATATTCTCTATTGCTTCTCTGTCTTCGCCCATGCTGCCACCATACTAACTTCTACACACTCTTCAGTTACTTTCTCCAGAAAACAAACCTGGGCTCCCTAAAATTGGGGGCCACTACACCCTAAGTATACCCCTATGATGGCACTTATCAATCCACTATAACAGGCTATTTTCCATCTCTAAAGCAGTTGGTAAAGGCCGGCATCTAGTTTAACAGCATACCCCCAGAGCCTAGCACAGCACCTGGCACTTCACAGGCACTCCATAAACTGCTGAATGAATAAATACAGAGCTACAAGTCCTAAATTCCATGTAAAAATATCACAATACATGATGCACAGTTCTCGAAGATGAATCCCAGGGAAGAGGAAGGCAGCCTAGGTAACAAAGACCAATTTTGCCTTTTCTCCTCCTGATCACTCTTCTCACGCTTGGAGAACATGAACTGCTTAGGGCAGCATCATCCGTGATGAGACAACATCCTAGCTGAACAAAATGCTCATGGGCTATGAGGGGAGAAAAAGTGCTCTGTTGCCCCTCATTTCTTCGATTTCTCTGACACACCCTCCTTTTCACCATTTCTCCACCCCACTGTAGTCAAGGGCTTTGGCACAGGGATGAAAGAGACAGATCAGACTCAAGGGTGCGGATCTGGCAGCGGGCACAGAAGCATCTCCCAGCCTGCACCAAGGTCCACAGGAAAGATCCAAAGGGACAGTGACTCAGGCCCCAGATAAAGCCCAGCTAGAGCAGTATTGAGAATGGAAGAGCAATAATTTCACAAGGACATTAACTGTCAGACGTTTTTTTTTTTTTTTAATCGTGTTTTTAAAGTACAGGGTTCAACCCTCTTCCCAGAAAACTGGGCCCTGCTGAATCCAGCGCTTACACAAGCTGAGAGCCAAACACAGCTTCTTCCTCTTCCAAACCCACCCACCAGCCGGCAGTACTCATCATGACAAGCATTTCCCAGGGCCAGGTCAGGACCCTTGCTTCAACTTTAGCTTGCAAAAGGCCCCTTTTTAAAGATACCTCTTAGCTTTCTCTCTTCCCTTGCTAATAAAACTGTTCCCTACCACCACCATGTTGCAGTAATAGAGACCTCTCCCTACCTCCATCCAACCCCTCTCAGTCTATAACACAACCTACAGCAGGTTGGCCCATCCAATTAGTCTGAATTGCTTTATGCCAAGGAAATTGCTGCTTTTATTAAAAATAAAAGCACACTAGGCAGGCAATGGGCTGTGAAAAGTATGGGTCTGGCATAATTATGAAGGTCGAGGTTAAGGTTACCAAGAGATATGCAAACATTTCCCAAAAGCCTGAGGGAATAAAGATGTATATCTACATGAGCATAGATAAACAGATGAAACACAGAGGAAATTTACGAAGCAGATCTAAATAACATCTTCCCTGATAGCGAAAAAAACAAAATCAGAGTTACTCTCAAGTAATTTTTCTTTTGGTTAAAAACACAAAAACAAAACCTAAAGCAAGGGGAAGAAGGGTCTGCTAGACTGAGTTCAAAATAACCACATTAGTTTTATATAATTTCTGTTATCTTTGCTATATTCTGGGGACCTAATTACAGTTGGGTCAGGAAACAAACCTAGTGAAATCCACCAAGGGCCCCTTGGAAAAACACAGTCACATTCTCCGAAAATCCTCTCTTCCTTCCAATGCCTGCTCATGGAGTGGGAAAGTTGGGTAGGAGAAGGAGAAAACCCTCTCTTCTTAAAAGTCCCCCCATCCCCACCCTTCAGCCTTCACATCAAGATTTTGAGTTTTAGGAGGATGACAAGCCCATCACCCTGCTTTTGGCATAAAGCTTTACACTTTCACACATACGTTTTCTTGTGTGATCCTCAAAATTCGGCTTCTTAATATTAAAAAAATAAAAATAAAAGGCCACTAAGGTAAACAATTTCGGCAACCTCCCCACACCCCCATAAGCCCAGTCACTTTCAAATCTCAATTTTAAATCTCTCAAGGACAATGACTCACGGGGTAAGTGAAGGGGGAAGGGGGGGTCAACTGGTCAAAGCCCATTCATACATGCAACAACTAGAAACCACAGTCTTGCCGCATCAGCATAAGATTTTAATTTACGGCGCATTGAGCCCCGCCGTACCTTCCGCCAACACCTCGTCCACTGTGACCTGCTGTCGCCCGATGCCAAAGACTCTTCCGATGTAGCCACTGCCCAGGCCTGAGGTGCTGCCCCCTCCTCCGCTGGAGCCGGAGCCCAGGCCAGAGCCGCCCTGCTCTCGCCGGGAGTCGAAAAACTTCTTCATCTTGCGAAAAGGAAGCAGCAAAGCAAAATACCGATGGTTTCTAGATTTTTTTTTTTTTTTTTTTAAGAAAAGAGATCCAAGGATTTCTTCTCGGATTTCAGCTCGGAGAGGAGCCACCCGAATCCGGCCGTGGGGGTGGGGGCTGAGGGAGGATGCCTATAGGAATATGCGTGTCAATCGCGCGGCGGGTCCCCTCCTCCTCCAGAGAGCGATTCGTGTAAGTTTAAACCTGTGATGACAGAGGAAGAGAGAGAGGATGAATCAGTAACACACTTATAAATTCAACCGCTGAGTCCTAGGGGGAGCAAAAGCCATCATCCCGGGGAAACGCTTCATGTATTTTCCTGGCGAGAAAAACCCTGGGGCTGAAAACGCGACCCCGGCCCCAGAACCCAGGACCCCCGATCCGGGAGCTCGGAGAAAGGAGGGATCCGAGCTGCACCGGCAGCGCTGACCCTCCCGGGCACTGCCTCCCGCTCCTCCCGGGTCTCCCCGCCGCCCCTCGAGGCGGCATCCTGGCAGCACCCACTTGAGACGGCTCGGCGGCCGGCGCCCAGCTACCAGCCCCGCGACATTGTCACGGCCGCCGGGCCGGCCTGCGACGCAAAGAGGAGGCGGCGCTGCAGCGAGAGCCAGGGCCGCGCTCGGCGCCCGCCCGCCCGCCAGCCAGCTGATCCCGGGAGCGCCGGGCGGAGACTGACCCGCCCCTCCCCCGCGCGCGCTCCCGCCCGGCTCCATCCACCCAACCAGGAAGTGAACCGCCGCCGGAAGTGCCACTCCGGGCGGCGCGGCGAGGGACGGAGCCCTCTCCTGCAACCGCTGTTCTGTCGCCACAGATGAGAAGGAGTCGACGGCGAGAAAGGGACTCGGGGGAAGGGGTTCTCAGTGCAGAGAGAGTTCTGGAAAAAACTGTCGATATCGCCCGAGCCGCAGGGCAAGCTGGGAAAGGTAGCTCGGCGCAGTCCGGCTGCTGGACTACAACTCCCAGCATGCTCCTGGAAGAGCGGGCAAGGCGGCAGCGGTGGCCTCCACGGCCTCGAAAGAGGTTTGTGGGGTGGCGCGTATGTGGGGACTCGGCAACTTAAACACATCCCGTGAAGAAACTACCAACGACGAGGTTTCCCCCTGCTGTATGTTCCACACTCCTGGAGCCATCTTATTTGCGGCCTGGCCTCCTAGCACAAGGGATTCTGGAGGTTGTGGTTTCCGAATGGATTGAGACTGACACCTGAAGGACGCGGCTTAACCGCTTAGCCCCGAGCGGGTCGGCTGAAATGGAGACGAGAAGTGATCAGGAACATTGTGCTGGCAGTTGGATCCGGCAGCACTAGAGCGCCAGCCTTAAAATAAGTAAAACCGATGCCCTTCCGCCCCTAACCTCAAAAGCTGCTTTTGCTTCTAGATGTTATCGAGAGCCGGCTCTGCGGTCAGCTCTGAGCTAGGCGCCCTGAGAACGCTCAATAAGACTGTCTCGTCTGGAAATGTACAGGCGAGATTCAAACCGAGAGACTGCCAAGGATTGTCTGCAGAGGAGATCCTAGGATACCAAAGACCCAGCCGGTTGGCTTGATCCCAAACTCTGGGGCTCTTCAGCCCATGCTGCCCCTTAATTCTTCCTCCTTTGCTGACGCTGTGGGTGCGCCCCATAGCCTGACCTTCACTAACCCTCTTGCACACAAGAACGCTAACCCTAAACTGATCAGTTATTTATTTTTCACTTCAAGATTCTTCCATTGATGCTTATGTTTCCTTGATACCGTTTTAAGTGCTGAGGGTAGGGGAGAACTGTGTGATTTGCATCTGCCAAATGCAGACGATTTGGAAGGCCAGTTGGTACACTTTTCCAACCCTAGATTTCCTGATGGATGATGCAGAAGGTAGTGGCAAGTCTCTGACAAAAACAAACAAAAAACCTATTATTTATTAATATGATTTTTCTAACCCCTGAATATGGGCTATTATTCATCTCCACCCGCTCTTCCCACTCCCAGTGCTTGTCGCAGAATTTTTTCCGGCGGGCATTTGAGTAGAGAAGGGTGCCCCAGGGAAAAAAATGCTTTCTCGAATCTGAATATTGAGCTGAGCTGTGACTGGGCTAACAGTGGCCTGTGTTGTTGTTGTTGTTGCTGCTGCTGCTGCTGCTGTTTCAAGTAGTGCCATTGTAATTAAACTCCCTGGGTAGAGATAGCATCGTTTCTTCCGGAGAGTCAGTGCTGTCAACTCAGTTCGCAAATTCGTGCAGCCACCTCCAGGGTGAAATGCAGCACCTATTCCCTCAAACTAAACCCAGGAAGGCATGTTCTCTGCACTTTCCTTAAAAGGCCAGATTTCTGTCTAAGGAAGTTTGAAACAGATCTTAAAATAGATGAGAAAGCTCATTTGGAATTAGACTGGTTGACCCCCATCTTTCTCAGCACCTATTTGTCTTCACTGACTTTCTTTCTTTCTTTTTTTTTTTTTTTTTTAAAGAAAAAGCTCTGCTAGGTCCTAAAATCAATCTAGTGCTATCTCAATTTTTACTTTTCTAGACTTTCCTGGTACCAGAGTAGGCCAGGCTTACACAAATCTCCAGTCTTAATTCAGTGATATAAAAACTCCCAATAAGCTGAAGGTAGCTAACATGCACTTATTGACCATCCACGTAAATGCTCTGATCAGAATCTGAGGGAAGAGGTTTAAAAAACAAACAAAAAATAGATGATTAGATTCCTTGCCCTCCATTCCCTCACAGACTAATAGCAATTATAATGACAAATCCAGTTTTTCATGCTTTGTACATGTTAAGTATGTAATGCTCACAACAATCCCATGAAATAAAATGAATAAAAATACTCATAGGTGGGTAAATAAATCAGATTAGTGACTTGCCCAAAGTCACATGGTAAATAGCAAAGCCAAGATTCAAACCCAAACATTTTAGCTTCAGAACCCACTTCTTACCTGGCTATTCTAAACTGTCTGCTTAGAGAGAGCAAACATTAACTGATTAAAAGACTTGAGAGTAATTAGAAACCTATGCACAAGCAGCATAGGACCAGGAGACAGGAAACCTCTGCCACTTCATAGCTGGGACCCTAGACCTCTTATGTCACTGGGCTTATTTTCTCAGCTATAAAACTAGAGCTCTTACACCTCTTACTGGTTTTTTAGTTCCTGAGTTCAAAATAATGAACAGATCAGCCACTATCATCTCAAAAGTATCACAATTACTTTCTGTATAATTTGTCCCACTCTGCACTCCTATTCAACTTTTAATGTATTTGATGTCTCAACCAAATACATCAAAGCTAGAGAACGGTCTTCTACTTATCTCCTTGAGCATCCAGTATAATAGTTTACGTAGAGTGTGTTCTTACCAGTACTTAAATAACGTAAATAGCTGACTTGAAATTAAATGTGACACAAAAGAGAGCTATCTGATTAAGGTGGAAAGACTGAAGTATCATGGATGAGTTTTGAACTAAATGTGGAAGATACTATGGATAAATACTCAAAGGGAGTGGGACAGAAACGGGCATTTGCTATTGTTACAATAGCCATTATAACACTGAAGGAACAGACTCTTTGTGGCAATAAGATGCCAAGTTATAAACAAGACCTAAGGCTATGTCAGGCAAGGATTAAGTCACACATCCCTACACTTAAAGAGTATGTTTTTCTTTTTCTCTGGTAGCTAGACACTGGCCTAGAGATGAGCAATATTGAAACAATGATATCTCACTGACCACCAGATGCCAGCTAACTAACTGTATCCCCCCAACCCCTGTTCCACAAGCCATAACTACCGCTTTGATTGGACAAGAGACTGATTTCAGTAACATCCTTGTAAGAGACCATCAACCACAGATGGGTTCTGGCTGGTTTTTCAGAGGCTGTGCACTGAGTGCCTTCATGTCCTCTGCTTCGTGTAATTGTAATACATTTAAATGTTAAATCTCCACCCCAAAGAGAACATAAGACATATGTAACATGCACAGTTTACTAACTATGCATCCATGTACTGCCCCTCCACTTTGTGAATAATCAAATAACTTCTTAAATATGCATTCTTAGCCAACTCATTTGGCATAAATTCCCATTCAACTCTTTCCTCCCTCTAAATGCCTGCTTTCAGCCTCTGCCAGAGTCTACACTTCCCAGCCTGTCAGGATCACCAACCTGCAGGCTGCAATCCTTTATAAAAAATAAAACTCGGCCAGGCACAGTGACTCATGCCTGTAATCCCAGCACTTTGGGAGGCCAAGGTGGGTGGATCACCTGAGGTTGGGAGTTCAAGACCAGCCTGACCAACATGGAGGAAACACCATCTCTACTAAAAATACAAAATTAGCCAGGTGTTGTTGCAGGCTCCTGTAACCCCAGCTATTCAGGAAGCTGAGGCAGGAGAATTGCTTGAACCCAGGAAGTGGAGGTTGTGGTGAGCCAAGATTGCGCCATTGTACTCCAGCCTGGGCAACACGAGCAAAACTCCATCTCAAAAAAAAAAAAAGAAAGAAAGAAAAAGAAAAGAAAGGAAATAAAGCTCTCCTCTCCAAATGTATAAACCTTGGGATTCTTCAGTTAACACTGTGTATCTTCTATATGCCAGTTACTGAATTAAAAACCTAACATATTACCTTGTTTCATTGTTATATTTTTGTTTTATTTTACTTATTTATTTTGAGACAGAGTCTCACTTTGTAGCCCAAGATGTATTGCAGTGGTGTGACCTCAGCTTCCTGCAACCTCTGCACAAGAGATTCTCATGCCTCAGCCTCCTGAGTAGCTGGGACTACAGGTGCACGCCACCATGCCTGGCTAATTTTTTGTATTTCAGTGGAGACAGGGTTTTACCATGTTGCCCAGGGTGGTCTCAAACTCCTGAGCTCAGGAGATCCAACCACTTCGGCCTCCCAAAGTGCTGGGATTACAGGCATGAGCCACCATGCCCAGCCTATTTTTATTTTTAAAATAATTATATAAAAAATAGAGATGGGGTCTCATTTTGTTGCCCAAGCTGGCCTCAAACTCCTACGCTCAGGTGATCCTCCCACCTTGGCCTCCTGAAGTGCTGAGATTACAGGTGTGAGCCAGCCTGCCAAGCCGATATTATTTTATTTAATCTTCATGGTTGCATGCCTACAAAGTAGACAGTGTTATCTATTTTATCAAAGAAAATACTGTTAATACTATTATTCCCAATTTTATAGATGTACAATGAAGATTTTGTTAGTAGCTAATGAACCGTATGGTTTGTTAGGTTTGAAGGAAATTATTTGACCTGTGGTACAGCTAAGTCATGCCACCACAAACCCAATTATAGCAAAAGTGTGCTGTATCTTTGAGGAAATCAAAGGGAAGGAGACCACCATTAATTGATATCCTTAACTAAGTCAAGCACTATATTCAGTATTTAGTCATACCATTTAACCTTCACAATACATCTATGAGGTGTGCCTTACTTTTATCAGTGTGGAAACAGGCTGAGCAGGGTTAGTCTGTCAACTGTTGCTACAAAACAGCTAGAAAAGGGCAGAGCCAAAACTGACCTCAAAACCCACATCATTTTCATTATACCGTGTAGGCTTTCTATGTTACTGTCTTTTAGCGAAGTGGAACTTGTTAGAAATGCAAATTTTAGGGCCCCATCCAAACCTACTGAATAAGAGGGAGAAACAGAAGCAGCAGTTTCTGTTCACAAACCATCCAGGTAATTCTAATACACATTCAAGTTTGAGACTAGCTGAAGCAAACTTTTAAGAACCATGTTCTTTCTTTAAAAATGGCATTTCTTGGCCAGGGGCAGTGGCTCACGCCTGTAATCCCAGCACTTTGGGAGGCCGAGGCCAGTGGATCACTTGAGGTCAGGAGTTTGACACCAGCCTGGCCAATATGGTGAAACCCCATCTCTACTAAAAATACAAAAATTAGCCAGGCATGGTGTCATGCACCTGTAATCCCAGCTACTTGGGAGGCTGAGGCACAAGAATTGCTTGAACCTGGGAGGCAGAGGTTGCAGTGAGCCAAGATCACACTGCTGCACTCCATCCTGGGAGACAGAGTAAGACTCTATTTCAAAAAAAAAAAAAAATCATTTCTTGATTAAAAAAAAAACTTTTAATTTTCCTTTTTAAACTGAGCCTTGTTTTCTTATTTTCCACTTGGTTTTGGTTTTGGATTTTGTTTAGGAAAGTAATTATATGCTCATTGAAGAAAGTAGATAGGAGAAAATAAAAATCAGCTATAATTCTACCACTCAGCAATAACTGCTATGACATTTTGATCAATTTCCTTTTAGCATTTTCCCATATATAAGTACATTTCTTACTATATTAGTAAGAAATCACATTATATATTTAATATTTTTTTCATTTAATGGTTTCCTATTTCATTGTATATTCTCTAAAAACATTCTTTTAGTGGCTGCTTAATAATCAGTGCTGGCCGGGCGCGGTGGCTCAAGCCTGTAATCCCAGCACTTTGGGAGGCCGAGGCGGGTGGATCACGAGGTCAAGAGATCGAGACCATCCTGGTCAACATGGTGAAACCCCGTCTCTACTAAAAATTACAAAAAATTAGCTGGGCATGGTGGCGCGTGCCTGTAATCCCAGCTACTCAGGAGGCTGAGGCAGGAGAATTGCCTGAACCCAGGGGGCGGAGGTTGCGGTGAGCCGAGATTGCGCCATTGCACTCCAGCCTGGGTAACAAGAACGAAACTCCGTCTCAAAAAAAAAAAAAAAAAAAAAAAAAAACAGTGCTTTACTGTCAAATGTTTTATTTTAAAATGTTACTTTTTATATATGATTAGAATGAATATTCTCTTGTGTGCTTCTTTGATTTTCTTTCTTCTTCTTCTTTTTTTTTTTTTTTTTTTAAAGACAGGGTCTCTCTCTGTTGCCCAGGCTGGAGTGCAGTGGTGCAATCTCAGCTCACTGCAGCCTCAACCTCCTAGGCTCAAGCAGTCCTCTCAACTTAGCCTTCTGAGTAGCTAAGACTGCAGGTTGACCACACCTGGCTTTTGTTGTTCTTGTATTTTTGTAGAGACAGGGTTTCACCATGTTGCCCAGGCTGGTCTTGAACTCCTGAACTCAAGCAATCCACACTCATCAGGCTCCCAAAGTGCTGAGATTAAAGGTGTGAGCCACTGCGCCTGGCCTGATTTTCTTTCTTTTTTTTTTCTAAGATGGATTCTCACTCTGTCACTCAGGCTGGAATACAATGGTACGATCTCCACTCACTACAACCTCCACCTCCCAGATTCAAGCAATTCGCCACCCTCAGCCTCCCAAGTAGCTGGGATTACAGGCACCTGCCATCATACCCTACTAATTTTTGTGGAGACTGGGTTTCACCATGTTGGCCAGGCTGGTCTTGAACTCCTGACATCAGGTGATCCACTTGCCTCGGCCTCCCAAATGCTAGGATTACAGGCGTGAATCACTGTGCCCAGCCTGATTTTCTTTCTAAAGCTACATTTTTACACATTATTACACATTATTAAAATAACTGGATCAAAGGTATGAATGTTTTTACAGCTAGAGAGCCAAAGGACCTTCAAGGAAATTGATATTTATTTGTTATCCACTCACTGATCCAGCAAACAAATATTTATTAAGCACCATATGCTAGACTTTAGAAAGTTTATCACAATAAACAAAATAGTTACACTCTTTGCCCTCAGGGAGGTTTTGGTTGTTTTGTTTTTTTCTTTTTTCTTTGAGACAGGGTCTTGCTCTGTCACCCAGGCTGGAATGCAGAGGCAGGATCATAACCTGAAACTATCAAGGGATCCACCCACCTCAGCTTCCTGTGTAACTGGTGCACAGCACCACACCCAGCTAATTATTCCTTAATTTTTTTGTAGGGACAGGGTGTTGCTATGTTGCCTAGGCTGATCTTGAACACTCAGCCTCAAGCAGTCCTCCTGCCTCAGCCTCCCAAAATGTTGGGATTACAGGTGTGAACCATTGTGTCTGGCTAGAACTTTTGATCTTAAAAGAAGGCATTAAATCCTAAGTATATCCATACCCTTGCCAACACTGAGTTTGCACAGTTTAAAAAGAAATCCATTTCATTATGTGGGTAGGAATGGTGTTCATTGTTATCATTGTTTAAATTAGTGAGACTGAACAATTTTTCATGTTCATTTATTTATTCATCAGTTGTTTATTAAGCATCTATTATATGCTAAAACAATGCTAGCCACTGGAAATATTATAAAGAAAATCGACATGTGTTTTCCTTTACAGAGTTTATAATCTATTAATTATTGGATGTGTATATTTCTTCATTTCTAAATCATATTCTTTTCCATTTTTCTATTGGAACTTTTTTTTCAGAATTGACTTGAGTGCTTCTTTATTCAATCAGTATGTAATGAACTACCATGTACTAAGCAATATGGTGCAAAACAAGATAAAGTTTCTCCTCCTGGAGAGCTGATGTTGGGGTCAGGGCAAAGAGAACACAATAAATAAGTCAAGAAAAATGTCAGAGAGTGTGGTGGCTCACGCCTGTAATCCCAGCACTTTGGGAGGCCGAGGCGGATGGATCACGAGGTTTAGAGATCGAGACCATCCTGGTCAACCTGGTGAAACCCTGTCTCTACTAAAAATACAAAAAATTAGCTGGGCATGGTGGCACGTGCCTGTAATCCCAGCTACTCAGGAGGCTGAGGCAGGAGAATTGCCTGAACCCAGTGAGCCGAGATAGCGCCATTGCACTCCAGCCTGGGTAACAAGAGCGAAACTCCGTCTCAAAAAAAAAAAAAAAAAGTCAGAGAGTGATTAATGATATGCAAATAGTTATACTAGAGTGATGTGATAGTGTCTGAATGACAACCTGAGATTGGATGTTCAATTCTGCATATATTAATTGTATTAATTAAAACCTATTTTTATATAAATGGAAAATTTTTTTTCTCCAGTTTGATATTAACCTTTTTTTTTCATGAATGGTTGTTTTTAAAACTTTTTTTCCTGATTATGATAATACATAATCATTCTGTAACATTTGGAAATATCTAAAAGCAGAAAAAAAATAAACCTCAGTTGCTTTCATTACTTATAAGTAAACCCTATCAACAGGTAGGTACATGGATATCCTTTCTGCCTTTTTCAGGGGTGTGTATGTGTAATGTTAGTTGATAGAGAATATAGTCTATTACAACTTGTTTTTTTCACTGTGTGTAAAGTAGCTCTGTCAGATGCTGGGAATAAAAATGATAAAATTATAAACAAAAATAGGCACGAGATTTGCCTATTTAAAAATCATAGATTTCTTTAACTGGCAAGGGGAGGGGCCATGGAAGCAGAAGGATGGTTAGGACATATATGTTAATCAGGTAATCACACAAATATATTTAAAATTAGAAGGTATAGATTTTATCTCTTTAACCATTGTAACCCCAACACATAAAACAGTATTGGGAATCAGTGGTTTACTTTCATTCATTCATATTTTGCAGTCTCTCATAAGTGTAAAAATATTCTCTGTATTTGTGATTGTGTCCACTTCTTGTTCCTAATTTTGTATATTTTGTTTTCTCCCATTTTGTTTTTATTAAACCAACTGTTTGTTGATCTACCTTCCTTCCTTCCTTTCCTTCTTTCTTCCTTTTTTTTTTTTTTTTTTTTTTTTGCTAAATATGGTACACTTTAAAAAGAGCAGAAAGCAGAGAGCCAAAGGTTATCACAATATAAAGAAAGGTTCTGACAATAAAGATAGAACCCAAAACACACCAACAGGAAAAATGAAACAAAGAAGAAAAAGACAATATGGGGAGAAGAAAACTTTTGAGAAATCTACTATTGAGCTTCTCTGAGAAAGATCAGATAAAACAGAAATGCTGGGCATGGTGACATAAGACTGTAGTCCCTGCTTCTCCACAGGCCGAGGTGGGAGGATCTCTTGAGCCCAGTTTGAGGTTGTAGTGTGCTGTTATTTATCATGCCTGTGAACTGCCATGCCACTGCACTCTAGCAAGACCTGGGAGACATAGTAAGACCCTGTGTCAATAATAATAATTTAAAACATCTCTTAAAAATTAACAATCAGAGAATCAAATAGAGTTCTTTTAAATTAAAAATATGATAGCAAAAATGAAACTCAGTAAAATGCTAAGAAAATAAAGTTAGAAAATATCCTAAAGAATGTATAGCCAAAAGGCCAAAAGAAGGGAAAAAAATAAGAAAGGATAAGAAAATTAGAAAGCCAGCCCTGGACATCTGGGAAACAGGGGCAGAAATTAATTAAATGATTCAATTGTATATTTTGTGAACTAAAGAGCATGAGGTTCCACGCTGAAAGTGCTCACTAAGCAGAGTGCAATGGACAAAACCAGAACCACACCAAGGCACAGCGTGACAAAACTTCAGAAGACTGAGGACATAAGGAAGATCTTTCAAGCGCCCAGGAGGACATGAGGTTTCACATAAGGGATCCAGAATCAGAATGGCATCTGATTTCTCAGTAGCAATGCATGAAACTGAAAGACAATGGAATGATGTCTTTAAAATCTGAGGAAAAATTACTTCCAACATAGATTCTCATACCCATCCAAATTAGTAGTAAATTATGGGGTTAAACGTATTTCAGACACATACAATTTCAAAATATTTATCTTCCATGTACATTTTCTTAAGAAGCTTTCAGAAGATGAAATCTTTTCCACCAAAACAAGGACATAAACCAAGAAAGCTTCTGTTTGTTTTTAAGTGAATAGCAGAAGGAACAACTGAAAATTGAATGGTGGGGAAGGGTAATAAGCTAACACTATAGTTACGGCTTCCTAATTTTCCTTAACTGTAGAGTACACCTAACATTTACTTACTATGTGCCAGTCACTATTCTAGGTGCTTTACATATATGGTATCATTCAGTTAATCCTCACAACAGCCCTATCAGTTAGATTCTTGCATAGAGTAGGTATCAGTAAGTATTACTATTGACGGTATACAATAGTTATTAATTGAACAAATTGAATTAAACTTCCTGCGGCAGACCGTATTTTTCAAAACTGGCTGCAACAATATGTTCAATCCCATGTGCACTTCCAAAAATCCCACCCCCCACCTCAATCAAGAGATGGCATCTATGTCTTTTCCCCTTGAACACAGATAGATTTCTTGGATAGGTTTCTGTGACTGCACCTCTAAAGTAATGCTATGTTGGCCAGGTGCCATGGCCCACACCTGTAATCCCAGCACTTTGGGAGGCTGAGGCAGGCAGATCACTTGAGGTCAGGAGTTCGAGACCAGCCTGACCAACATGGTGAAGCCCTGTGTCTACTAGAAATACAAAAATTAGTCAAGTGTTGTGGTACAAACCTGTAATCCCAGCTACTCAGGAGGCTGAGGCAGGAGAATTGCTTGATCCTGAGAGGCGGAGGTTGCATTGAGCTGAGATTGCACCACTGCACTCTAGCCTGGGTGACAGAGCAAAACTGTCTCAAAACAAACAAATACACAAAAATAAATAAAGTAATGCTATATGACTTTCAAAATTGCATCTTGAAAGGTAGTACAGCTTCCATCTAGCTCTCTTGCTCAGAATATGTGCCTTTGGAGAATATAAGTACATGAAACTACCATGCGGTAGAGAGCATGTGAACAGACCACAGAAAAATAGAGAGTCCAAGGAGGCCTGGTTGTTCCAGCCCCAGCAGTTTGAGTTTTCTCTGTCCCAGTGCCAGACATGTGAATGATTCTCAAGACCTCAAGATGACTGTGGCATGACCCCTGTCTCATGGCAGCCAGGTGATAAAATGTGAGTGGAATCACCTAGCTGAGCCCAGTTACTCACCAGAATCATGAGACCACAACAACACATGGTTTCACACCCCAGAATTGTTATTTTTTGGAGCAATAAACCAGCAGAATATTTCCAGATAAAAGTGGGTTTTAGCCTAGACTTCTGAATCTCCTGTACCTATACTCATTTAAATGGCCCAAGGCATATAAAGAAGGGAATTGTATTTTATTTTATTTTTCATGTATTTATTTTTGAGATGGGATCTTGCTCTGTCACCAGGCCAAGAGGGGAATTTTTATCCTGAGTGGCAAGTCTCCTCTCTAATACTGTAGCTGAATCCAAAGCTTATAGACACAAGTGATTTTAAAAAAATAGATTAATTGATTAGACTAGGCTCAGTGGCTCATGCCTGTAATCCCAGCACTTTGGGAGGCTGAGGCAGGTGGATTGCCTAAGCTTAGGAATTTGCAATCAGCCTGGGCAACATGGTGAAACCCTGTCTCTACTAAAATACAAAAAAATTAGCCAGGCATGGCGGTGTGTGCCTGTGATCCCAGCTACTTGGGAGGCTGAGGCAGGAGAATTGCATGAACCTGGGAGGCAGAGGTTGCAGTGAGCCAAGATAGAACCACTGCATTACAGCCTGGGCAACAGAGTGAGACTCCAACTAAAAAAAAAAAAAAAAAGATTAATTGGATTTTATCAAAATTAAGAATTCTTCAAAAAACACTTAACAAAAAGACAACCCACAGAATGGGAGAAAACATGTGCAATCATATATTGTACTCAGAATATATAAAGAACTCTTATAACTCAGCAATAAAAAGCAACAAATAAGCTAATTTAAAATGCACAAAAGATCTGAATAGGCATTTCTGCTAAAAAGGTACACACATGGCCAATAAACACATGAAAAGATGCTAAACATCATTAATTATTAGGGAAATGCATACCAAAACCACAATGAGATATTGTTTTACAGCCATTTGGGTTGCTGTGATTGAAAAATACAGACAATAACAAGTGTTGACAAAGATGCAGAATAACTGGAACTCTCATACAATGCTGGTAGAAATGTAAAATGTGCAACTGGTAGAAAATAATTTGCCAGTTTCTCAAAAGGTTAAAGAGTGTCACTATATGACACAGCAATTCCAGTCTTAATAATATACCCAAGAGGAATAAAAGCATATGTCTGTAAAAAAAAAACTTATACATAAATGTTCATAGCAGCATTATTCGTAATAGCCAAAAACTGGAAACAATGTCCAGTACAAAATGTCCAGTAACTGATGAGTGGATAAACAAAATATAGAATATTCATGCAATGCAATATTATTCCACAATAAAAAACAACTAAGTACTAATACATGCTACAACATGGATGAATCTTTAAAGCATTATGCTAAGTGAAAGAAGCCAGTAACAAAGGACCACATGTAATATAAAATATCAGGCTGGGTGTGGTGGCTCATGGCTGTAATCCCAGCATTTTGGAATGCCAAGGTAGGAGGGTCACTTGAGGCCAGGAGTTCAAGGCCAACCTCACCAACATCCTGTCTCTACTAAAAATACAAATATTAGCCAGGCATGGTGGTGCACACCTTGTAGTTCCAGCTACTCAGGATGCTGAGGCATGAGAATCACTTGAACCTGGGAGGTGGAGGTGAGCTGAGATCACAACACTACATTTCAGCCTGAGCGATAGAGTGAGACTCTGTCTCAATAAAACAAAATACAGTAAAATCAAATAAAGTAAGCAACTCTATAGAGACAGAAAGTAGATTAGTAGTTGCCTAGAGCTGAGGAGGCAGGGGGTGGGGGGCAGTGGTGTGGGGAGAAAATCACAGTGACTGCTAACAGTTACAACACTTCTTTTTGAGGTGATACAAATGTTCCAAAATTGATTGTGGTGATGGTTGCACAACTCTGTGAATATACAAAAAACTATTGAATTGTACACTCCACACAGGTAAACTGGTATGTGAATACCTCGACAAAGCTATTGAAAAAAAGAAAGAGATCCTTTTGTAGTTCATGAGCATAATGATTGGATATTCACACACATGTGTAAGATGTGCCACCCTTGAACCTTGTTACGACCTTGGCACGTTACCCATCTGACCTGAAAAAAATAAAGAAAAATAAAATTGTCGTAGATTGGTTTAGTCTAATGTGCAAAATACTCTGGCCTATTCGTAGAGAACTGGACAGGATATCCTGTGATGTGATGTATGGAGGGACTGTAGCAACATTTATGTCCGTTTCTCTCTCTCTTTTTTGTCTCTTTTGTCCTTTTCTCCTCCTCTCCACACACATATTATCTATTCTTTATTATCAGCTATCTATTGACCCAACAGTGTGGATAACAAAGCATCTGAAGACTCATTCTTATTGCTCCCAAGTCTATGGCAGCTGAGCCATTATTCCTATCTAGATAGGACTTGCTGCTGCATCTGCAATCAGCAGTCCATCTCAGCTGGGCTCTCTCTTGTAATGGGGGGTTGACTGGAACTTTTGGGGCTAGGATGACCTCTGCTTTTTTCCACGTGTCTTGGCATTCCTCCGGTGGGCTAGCTGGGACAAGCTGTCATGCTGCGGCAGAGATGCACTAGTGAGCATGCAGAAACGCACATGTGCTTTTCAAGCCCCTGCTCGTCTTGTGTCTGATAACATTCCATTGGCCTAGGTATGTTCCTGGAGAAACATTCAGTGACAGGAAGAAAGGACAACAAAGTTACAAGGCAAAGAGTGTGGAGCCAGGTAGCCTTTAATTGGGACCATTAATACAATGCATGGACTGCTTTATAAGTTCATGCTTATCTGTTTCATAAACTCTAGGTTGTTTAATAAAATTAGGAATGCAGTCATTCTCCCCTCCAAGTGAAACCTTTTTCTATTTTTATTTGTTATTACAAAAGTATAAGGAATGAGTCAGAGAATACAGACAAGTTAAATGAACATTAAAAAGTATGATACACCAGGCATGGTGGCTCATGCCTATAATCCCAGCACTTTAGGAGGCCAAGGTAGGAGGATTCCTTGAGCCCAGGAGTTAAGACCAGACTGCGGCAACATAGTGAGACCCTGTCTCTACAAAAATAAATTTTTTTTATGTGTGATATTGTCCCTTTCCTGGAGATAATCACTCTTGAGATAGTCTTCCAAATATTTATCTCTACATTTGTAATAGGTAAATATACACATATATATCTTTCTCATTATATATGTATAGATACATATATATGTGTGTATAATGAGAAATATTAATTTAGATTTGATGAAGTTAAATTTCACTGACTGATATGTAAAACTCACCTCTGCATGTGGAAATTCATTGTCTCCAGGCACAGCCATCTTGTGCTGTGTATAACTCTGTCTATGGAATGACACACTTTGGCTTCTGCAGCAGGCGTGACTTCTGGTATTCACATGGTTGGTAATATTACCACATGTCCCACAAGATGGTAAACGTTGACACATAAACGTTATATAGTCATCATGTATTTTCTTGAGAAATTAAAATTATTTATTTAAACATATACTTTATTTCCATTCCTTTTCTTTGAGCCCATTTTTATCAGTTTATTACTGGTATAAGGGTGTAACCAAACAAAAATATAAATAAAGAATCACAGGGCTGGGCATGGTGGCTCATTCCTGTAATCACAGCACTTCGGGGGGCCAAGGTGGGCATCACTGAAGGTCAGGAGTTTGAGACCAGCCTGGCCAACATGATAAAATCTTGTCTCTACTAAAAACACAAAAAATTAGCCAGGCGTGGTGGTACATGCCTGTAATCCCAGCTACTTGGGAGGCTGAGGCAGGAGAATTGCTTGAACCCAGGAGGTGGAGGTTGCAGTGAGCCAAGATCGCAACACTGCACTCTAGCCTGGGTGACAGAGTGAGATTCCAACTAAAAAAAAATAATAGATTTTCACCATACAATAAATACCAAAACCACTGTAACGAGAGTGTCCATCTCCCTTCTATATACTTTATTGCAGGATTGTTCAGCCCTTATTTCCTGCACACAGTTTATATAATCTAATCTAGAATTTCCCATGTTCCCCACTGACTCTGTTGCCTGGCTGGCCTGGTCCTACTTCCTTGTATACCAAATAGTCATCAGGAGCAGCCATATCTAATACTTCTCTCACCACTACTCAAGATTATAAAGAGTTCACCTTCCTCGCCTTATTTTATTGATAAGTGCCCAGCAGGCTGTCCTTGAAAGAGACTTGATAGCTATCTTGCTTCTGGAAAGAGTTGTGGGGAAAATACTGATCATTACTAGTGATATTCCAGTTTTAACCACATGTCACAATGAGGACTCTGTTTGCTACACACATGTCTTATACACTAGAGACAGAGTAGGAACTGAAGCACAAAGTGAAGGTTTACTAAACTCATTCCAGCATATCATAATGCAACTATGAATAATAATATGTGGCTAAAAAATGACAAATGAAACAAATGCTATAACAGATGGTGACTGGCCCACAGTAAACTTGAAGCATTGTCATCCTAATTATAAAATTATAGTAACTAAAACAATGTGACATGGGCATAGGGATAGACAATTGGCAGAAAAGAGAGAACAGAAATTGACCTGTGGATAAATGTGGGCCTGATAGATGACATATACATGGGGAAAAGAATAAATAGTACTGAAAATTTGGTTACCTACGGAAAAAATGAAAGTGGACCCTTACCTTACATCAATCATAAAAATCAATTCAGGGTCAGGCATGGTGGCTCACACCTATAATCCCAGCACACTAGGAGGTTGAAACAGGACAGATTGCTTGGGCTCAGGAGATCAAGACCAGCCTGGGCAGCATAATGAGACCCCTGTCTCTACCAAAAATACAAAATTTAGCCTGGCATGGTGGTGTGCACCAGGAGACTCAGCTACTCAGGAAGCTGAAGTGAGAGGATCACTTGAGCCCAGGAGGTCAAGGCTGCAGTGAGCCAAGATTACACCACTGCACTCCAGCATGGGTGATATTTAATATTTAAATATTTATATAATAGAATGAGTAGAAGAGCTTTATGACTTTGGGGTGGAGAAGGATTTTTTAAACAAAACACAAAAAGCACAAACCTTTAAAAAATGATTCATTGAAGACTACATTAAAAGTTTCGCATCCTGAATATGCAAAGAACTCTTGTGAATCAGGAAGAAACAACAGAAAAGAAAAAGCAATGCAAAAAAGATCTGTCAAGACATTTTACAGAATAAAAAATATGAATTGTTGCTGGACGTGGTGACTCATGCCCATAATCCCAGCACTTTGGGAGGCCAAGGCCAATGGATCACCTGAGGTCAGGAGTTTTAGACTACCCTGGCTAACATGGTGAAACCCCATCTCTACTAAAAATACAAAAATGACCGGGCCTGGTGGCACGTGCCTGAAATCCCAGGTAGTTGGGAGACCGAAGCAGGAGAATTGCTTGAACTTGGGAGGCAGAGGTTGCAGTGAGCTGAGATCACTCCACTGCACTCCAGCCGGGGCAATACAGTGAGACTCCTTCTCAAAAAAAATATATTCACATATGAATTGTCAATAAGTACACAAAATAGATGCTTGACCTCATCATAGTCACAGAAATGCAACATCAAACCTTGGTAAGCCATATTATCACTGCTAAAGTGTCAGAACCTCTGATTCACTGAGAGCATAAACTATACAACTAGTTGGCGAAACAGTTTGACATTTTATTAAAAGTGCACAAACCTTATGACTCAGTGATTCAATTCTCACATGTTTACAACCTAGAGAAAGCAAGGGTACCAGGAGACATGTACCCTTATCTTGTTTTCTGTTTGTTTTTGTTTTTATTATACTTTAAGTTCTGAGATACATGTGCAGAATGTGCAGGTTTGTTACATAGGTGTGCACGTGCCATCATGGTTTGTGCATCCGGAAAATGATCTTAAAACACTTTTTTGGGGGGGCTCCCACCTGTAATCCCAGCATTTGGGAGGCTGAGGCAGGCAGATCATGAGGTCAGGAGTTTGAGACCAGCCGGGCCAACATGGTGAAACCCCGTCTCTACTAAAAATACAAAAATTAGCCAGGCATAGTGGTGCAGGCCTATAATCCCAGCTACTCTACAGGCTAAGGCAGGAGAATCACTTGAACCTAGGAGGCGGAGGTTGCAGTGAGTCAAGATTATGCCACTGCACTCCAGCCTGAGCAACAGAGCAAGACTCTGTCTCAACCAACCAACCATTGTTTTTAATAGCAAACAAACCAACAAATATAATTGGAAGCAACTCATTGTTGATAGATGGGAGATAAATTGTGGGATGTTCATGAACTACAGTTGCATGGATCAACATGGTTGAATATAAAACACTGAGTGAAAAATATTATTATGTACTTTATTATGTATTTTATTTTATTTATTTATTTTTTGAGACAGAGTCTTGCTCTGTTGCCCAGGCTGGAGTACAGTGGTGCAATCTCAGCTCACTGAAAACCTCCGCCTCCTGGGTTCAATTGATTCTGATGCCTCAGCCTCCTGAGCAGCTGGGATTACAAGCATACACCACCACACCCAGCTAATTTTTGTATTTTTGGTGTTTTGCTATGTTCACCAGGCTGGTGTCAAACTCCTGACCTCAGGTGATCCACCCGCCTCAGCCTCCCAAAGTGCTGGGATTACAGGCATGAGCCACCATTCCTGACCTATTATGTATTTTAAACAATATTGTGTATCTAACAAATACATGATAGTATAATTTTGTTTATATAAATTATAACTTTTAAAAACAGCAAAACCAAACAATATTTTTGTGGATACCTACGTGTGTAGAAATAGCATAAAAACATGCTAGTACATGAGAAAGAAGATACTCAGAATGATGACTACCCACCGGGAGAGAGGGAAGGAAATGGGTTTGGGGAGAGGTTCATAAACAGTTGCAACAGTGTTATTACTTGGTTTCTTTTTTGTAAATACCTGAAACAAGAGAACACACTAAGACTTTATGATGCTGGTGGTGGCTTTATGGAAGCCAGCATATTTTTTTTCTCTATATAGTCAATTAGTATCCATAAGAAACTTGTTTTTCAAAGACAAGAAAAAAAAAGTGAGGGAGGAAAGTGCTGATGGCAGCCGCCCTCGGGGAGCTGACTTCCGCACCAACTCCCTCTCTCATCCATGGCCTGCCAAGTGCCTAACAGGACTGTTGGCTGGGAGGGTCCGTCTGGGATTCTGCCTCCCTGCTGACTAAGGCACGTGGGGAGACATGAGGCTGGACTGAATCTGTCCCACTTTGACGTTCCTTGCCCTACACTAGACTTCGGGATGAAGGGTTCAGGGACAGTGGGCCCCGTCACACATTCTCCCAGCTGGCTACCCACCGTGCTTCTTACCTGCAGCCGCCCTGTGTGCCTTCGGTGAACACTGTGTCTGCTGCAAAGGAGGTGTCCAGAATGTGTTTGCTGAATTGACCCAAGCCATTATCAGCACTTCAGTGTGCTGGGAGGACATGAAAATAGCTGCACAGTGAAGTGGTGTTTGCTGGTGTCTGCCCTGTTCCCCGCCTCTGCCAGCTCTCTTGCAACATTCCCTGGCCTGTTTGCAGGAGGCTGACAGCAGGTGTTCAGACTTTTTAGGATTTGGGCTTAATTTCAGATGACCAGGACAACCTGGGCTCTTCTGCAATGAAAAACAGATTCTGCTGTTTTTCCTGCCTTTTTAACATTTCAAGCCAAGTTCCTATGCCCATCCACCCATATAAAACTTCCTTGTTCAGAAAGTCATCTGCACAACTGGCAAAGGCACCATCTCAGAGTTTTCTATTTTTACTCCTGTGTGTAATCAATGGGAACACACTGTGACGGAAATAAAAGAATTATGAATTGATAAGAGCAAACCATTGATATTTGCTTTTGTTCCTGGGCAAGCTAGTGAAGGAACATGTACCTAATGTGTAGAAATATAATGGTCATTTTATGCTTCTGTCTTTTTACAGAAACATTTCAACAATTTCTGTGTTTATTTTCAGGGAGAAAAAAATATGCTTTTTAGATTCAAATTGTGTAAGCTTGAAAAACATTTTCACACAGGCTGATTTTCTAGAAACATTGAAATATATTGTCAGCCCTGTCTTCTCTAAATTATTAGCCTGTGACTTCGATACTTATTTTCTGTCATTCTTTTATAATAAAAAGTAATTGATTCTCCAACTCAGTAACACTATTGATAATTTTTTTAAAATCTCATTTCAAAAATTGTAATCTAACATAAGCTCTTTTTATTTTCCACAGTCATCCTTTCCGGTCTTGCTACATACAAAGATACTCTTTTTTACATAGTAGAATCTCAGCATATAGTTTTATATTCTGTTACGTCACTTAGGTATATGATATGACTTCAAACTAAAATGGCATGTGAGTCTCATTGTTGACAGTACTCTATCGCATATGAATTTATAGATTAAAATTTCATTTATTCTAGAAGTATCTGTGTGCACTTTTATTGTATGTAAATGTCATCTCAATGTTAAAACCATTCAAACATTTTTTTCTTTTTTTTTTTTTTTTGAGACAGAGTCTCATTCTGTCACCCAGGCTGGAGTGCAATGGCTCGATCTCGGCTCACTGAAACCTTTGCCTACCAAGTATCTGGGACTACAGGTGCGTGCCACTATGTCTGGCTGATTTTTTTTTTTTTTTTTTTTTTGTATTTTTAGTAGAGACAGGGTTTCACCATGTTAGCCAGGATGGTCCCAATCTCCTGACCTCTTGATCCGCCCTCCTTGGCCTCCCAAAGTGCTGGGATTACAGGCGTGAGCCACTGCGACTGGCCAAAAACCATTCAGACTTTTAAAAGTTGTCTCTTTCACACTGGCAGGCTTCTCAACCAGATAGAAAAAAGATTTGTTTAGAGCCTAAAGCTGATCAAAAGTGAGATACCTGGAATAGTCAAGGTCATAGAGGCAGAAAGCAGACTGAACATTTCCAGGGGCTGTGGGGAGGGAGGAATGCAGAGTTGTTGAACAGGAGTTTCAGCGAGGGAAGATTAAAAAGTTCTGGGGATAAACGATGATTCACAGCGATGTGAACGTATCTAATGCCACCATACTGTACGCTTAAAAAAGGTTAAAATGGTAAACTTTTTGTTACCTATATTTTGTCACAATAAAAAGAAGTTTTAAAAAACTAAACAAAGTTCATCAGAAAATAATGTTTGCTTCTGCAAAGTCATTTTGAAATGTGAAAAAATGTGAACATGAAATATGTTAATGTTAAAAACATCTTGAGTTTCAGAATAGCAGGTTCAGAAACAAGTGAATAAAGGAATTTCACCTTAAAAGTAATTAAAAACTAAACTAAACAGATGTGGTTCATAGACCTACAGGAAATGAAGACTATGAAATTCTGGGAGGCCAAGAATTAATTGGTAATTAGGTAACTAGTTCAAAGTCTCATGCGTAGTGAATCACAGAGATGTGTGAAAATCTAGGCAATTTCTACTAGGTTTTCTCTTTTTAACATGATTTTCGTAAATCATGTTAAAAAATGATTTACGTTTTCAACCTCCTGAGAATTTGAATTTTTAAATGGTATGTTGTATTTGAATTTGTTTTATATTCATTAAATATATATTGTGTTCAATTTTTTAAAAATAGTTTTTCTGGTTAAAAAGTATATGTCCTTTGTAGACAATTTAAAAATAAAGTATAAATTAAATTAATTAAAATCACCCCTACCCATTCCTAATAGATAAAACTTGTTAGTATTTTGGTATATCTCCATCTAAGGCTATTTCTTTTTTTTATTTTCATTTTTATTTTTTATTGAGATAGGTTCTCACTGTATTTCCCAGGTTGGTCTCAAAGTCCTTGGGCTCAAGCAATCCTTCTACTTTGGAAAGTAGATTTCCAAAGTGTTAGGATTATAGGTGTGAGCCACCAAACCCAGCCAAGACTATTTCTTGTACACATAATTGAAATTATTATGCATAAAATTTTGTTTATTCTTATCTTCACTTAATATTATATTGTATCATAGGTCTTGAAGTTATTAAAGGTTCTTCATAAATATTTTTTGAGACAGATTCTCACTCTGTTGCCCTGGCTGGAGTGCAATGGCATGATCTTGGCTTACTGCAACCTCTGCCTCCTGGGTTTGAGTGATTCTCATGCCTCAGCCTCCCAAGTAACTGACATTGTAGACACCTAGCTAATTTTTGTATTTTTAGTAGAGATGGGGTTTTACCAGGTTGGCCAGGCTGGTCTCGAACTCCTGACCTCAGGTGATCCATCAGCCTCAGCCTCCCAAAGTGCTGGGATTACAGGCATGAGTTGCCATGCCTGGCCTTATAAATATAATTTTAAATGCATTCAGAGTATTCCGTCTTATGGCTACATCAGAATTTGCTTAATATCCGTCTCTTTATTGTTGGATATTGTAGGGGCTCAGAAAATGATACCCTAATAGATAGCACTTTGGCATGCTGAGTGTTTTGAGCTGAAGGAGACTGGAAGAGCCTCAGAAACAGCAAGTTCCCTCTAGGCTTCTCCCTCCCTCCTTTCTCTTTCTCTCATTTCTCTCAAGAAGCAGGTTATTGAAAATAGAATTCTTCCCTGAGGTAGAATTCCATACAAACTGGAACTTCTCACCCCTAAAGCAAGCCATAAATCCTATAAATTCACTCTCTGAGCATCTCCCTTCTCCCCTGAAGAGCGTCATGTGACAGGTATCCTGCCCTATGCCTGGAGAAAAGAGTGCTACTTTTGTATTTTTAGACATAATGCTATTGCACTCTCGGTAGACTACAATATAATGTAAACACAACTTTCCCCCCCTCCTCTATGGTGAACGGAACATAACTTTTATATGCACTGAGAAACCAAAAAAATTTTTGTGATTCACCTTATGTTGATATTTGCTTTATTTTGGCGTTCTGGAACTGGACCTGCAATATCTGCAAGATTTGTCTGTACATGTTTTTATGCCTATGACATGTGAGCCATTTACAATTTTTGTTATAAGTAATGTGGTGATCTGCTTCTTTGTGTATAAAGCCTTTGTACCTTTCAAATGATTATTTAAATAGAGTTCTAGAAGTAGAATTACCACATAAAAATTACAAATATCTTTACAACTCTTGGTTTATGTTGTTAAATAGTTTTTTTTTCAGAAGGGCATTATAAATCTATATTTTCTTTTCTTTTTTTTTTATTTTTATTTTGAGACAGGGTCTCATTCTGTCACCCAGACTGGAGTGCAGTGGCGCCATCATGGCTCATAGTAGCCTCAACTTCCTGGGCTCAGGAGATTCTCCCACCTCAGCCTCCCCAGTAGCTGGAACCACAGGTACATAGCACCACATTGAGCTAAGTTTTGTATTTTTTGTAGAGACTGGGTTTTGCCATGTTGCCCAGGTTGGTCTCCAACTCCTGAGCCCAAGCAGTTTTCCTGCCTAGGCCTCCCAAAGTGCTGGGACTACAGGCATGAGGCACTGTGCCCAGTCCACAAGTTTATACTTTCAACAGAAATATATTACACTGCTGAGTAAGAATAATAAGACCTTTGGGAGGCCGAGGCGGGTGGATCACGAGGTCAACAGATCGAGACCATCCTGGTCAACATGGTGAAACCTCATCTCTACTAAAAATACAAAAAATTAGCTGGGCATGGTGGCACGTGCCTGTAATCCCAGCTACTCAGGAGGCTGAGGCAGGAGAATTGCCTGAACCCAGGAGGCAGAGGTTGCGGTGAGCCGAGATCGCGCCATTGCACTCCAGCCTGGGTAACAAGAGCGAAACTCCGTCTCAAAAAAAAAGAACCAACAATAATAAGACCTGATATTCATGAGCCACTTAGTTTTTAACCAAGTGCTAATCACTAAATATGGACTAGCTCATCTTTAAAATCTTGTATAGTGTTGGTAAAAAAAGGTTTCTGTTGTTTGAATTTTATTGATTGATTGATAGTGATATTGAGCTGTATTTAAATTTTAAGTTATTTGTAAACTGTAATCTATTTTTCTATTGTGAATTACCATAATTATTGGTTTACATGAACTATGTATTGCTATATTAACCTTCTGTTGGGTCTGCTTTAGCAATTTTGTGTGTTGTTTTTAATGTTTTGGTTTTCTATTGATATACATTACATATTTATTACGTATATGTAATATTTTATGGTTTTAAAAAATTTTATTTTATTAAAAAATTTTTTTGCTTTGAGATGAGGTCTCACACTGTTGCCCAGACTGTGGTACAGTGGCATGATCACAGCTCACTGCGGCCTCAACCTCCTGAGCTCAAGTGATCCTCCCATCTCAGCCTACCAATAGCTGGAGCTACAGGCATGTGCCACCATGTCTGGCTAATTTGTTTTTATTTTTTGTAGAGATGGCATCTTCCTATGTTAGCCAGACTGGTCTTGAGCTCCTGGGCTCAAGCAATTCTCCCACCTAAGCCTCCAGAAGTGCTGAGATTACAGATGTGAGCCACTGTGCCTGGCTATTTTTATTACTTCTTTTGAGAAATGTCTATTCATCTCCTTTGCCCACTTTTCAATGGGATTGAGTTGTTTGAGTCCCTTGCATATTCTGGATTTAATTCCCCTGTAGGATGAATAGTTTGCAAACATTTTCTCCTATTAAACAGGTTGTCTATTCACTCCATTGTTTCCTTTGGTGTGCAGAAGTTTTTTAGTTTAATATAGTCTTATTTGCTTATTTGTGTGGTTTTTTTTCTGTGCTTTTGAGGTCTTAGCCATAAACTCTTTCCCTACACTCATATTCTAATGTGTTTTCCCTATGTTTTCTTCCAGTAGCTTTTAGTTGTAGGTCTTATGTTTATGTCTTTCCTCCACCTTGAGTTGATTTTTGCATATGGTAATGGATAGGGTTCTAATTTTATTTTTCTATAGAAGGATATCCAATTTTCCCAGCATCAATTATTGAAGGGGTGTCTTTCCCCCAATATCTGCTCTTGGTGCCTTTGTAGAAAATCAGTTGGCTAGAAATAAGTGTACTTACTTCTGGATTCTGTGTTCTGTTCAATTGTTCTATGTGTCTGTTTTTATACCAATGCCATGCTACTTTGGTTACTATCGCCTTGTAATATATTTTGAAGTCAGGTA